GTCAATTTATGGAAAAAATAATGTACAAGCAAAATTTTTAAAAATAATGAAAATTTATTGCCGGTTTTGCTAGAAATACTTGACAGTTTTCAAGAATGAGCGGATCATGCAGCTTCCATCCTTTGTCTTGTGGAAAAAGAACAACAGGGATGGGATCTGAGAAATTGATTAAAATACAGAAGACTGAAGACTTGTTGTTAATCATGAAGTGATATGATGAACTGTATACAGAGTATGTTGCCAGTACGGTAGGTGAAGGTGTATGCAGCAGCGCAGGCATAATTCAGACTAGGGGACTGATGAAGTTCCTATACTACTACTATGAATGAATTAAGAAGAAAAAAAACTAGCGTTGTTAGGTTCCATGTGCCATTCGCTGTCACTTACCTCACATTTAATCAGATCGATATCCCTACAGATGCACGCTTAAATAACTAATAAATAGGCCCTTCTCTGAGGCTTCATTTTCCTCAAGAGTTTGTTAACCACATGACTCGGAACATCCTAATTTCAGAAGAATTCTGCTGAAATTAGTTACCTTTTGCTAGAAACATGTTAATACAACAAAGGCCTTATTTGGATCTACCCGCTAAACTTTAGCTGGTTAAATTTAGCTATGGTGGATCCAAACAGCCCACAACTAGCTAAACTTTAGGTGAGACCAAAATATGGCCCCGTTTGGCACGGCTCCACTTCACCCATGAAGCTCCTTTTTGGGGCTTCAGCTCCATGAATAGCTCTATCGGTGGAGCTGTAGCTGTTTTGATAAATCGTTTGGCAAAACAGCTTCACATATAGTTTTTCTTAAAATATGCTCTCAGAGAACGCCATGTAGAATGAGGTGAAGCCGAGAGAAGCCACTATTTTTTGCTCCTTCCCACCCCAAAGCTCTGTGAGAGTACGTTTTTAGGGGCTTCATCGGTGGAGCCGTTTTATTTTATCCCGTTTGGCAGAAAACGGCTCCAAGCAGCTCCTGAAGCCGCTAGAGAAGCCCTGTCAAACGGGTCCTATATACACAATCTCATTTACAGTTATTAGGAATTGGAGCACGCATATACCCCATGCATGCGCGGGGCGAATCAAATATTACTATTATGGCTTTAATTCGTTGGCTGTAACATAATGGTAGTTTGGGCGCACATGAAAATTGGTTGTCTTGTCTGCGAAAACCAAGTCCCTATGGTGTTTAATTTGTCAACTCTACATGATGATAACTAAACATTGAAGCATCACATGGAGTTTAATTTAATTTAATTTGTTGGTGACCGAAAATGAAGGCCTACTGATGAAATGAGAATCATGGAGCAAGATCACACACACCGACGTGCTGTGCAGTGCAGTGTGCGCTCGTCACATACTCACATGTTTTATATTGATTTCCTGTGGGGTTGGATTGGAGTTGGAGCCTTGCGCCCTTGCCTTGCGTTGCCATTTGGTACGGTGATAGATGGCACGATTCTGTACATGTGGTTGGGAAGGTGAAGTGACGTTGACCAAACCCGCGTTGCTAGCTAGGAGTAGCTATTTTAGTACTGTAGCAGTCCGGCCAGAACTTGAGGCGACAGCATGTTTATTTTCGTTAGTTCTTCTAATTAGATTAGGGTAACTGCTGGATCCCGGACTTCCGATCCGATATTGATCCGTCGGACGGTACCGTGGACCGGGCCGATTTGTTTCCCCAGCGCGCGCCGACAGTCTGCGCCCCCGCCCATGCATACTTTTCACGTGTCCACCGGGGCGGGGCGCTCGCCCGTGGGGACCTGTGCCCGCCACTCCTCATGACCAGATGGACGGTCGCGCAGCCCGCCCCCATCTGCCTCACATCGTACTCGCACGCCGTTGCGCCCCGCTCCTTCCCTCAGACCCCCTCCTCTCTCTCAGCGTGGGCGGGACTCGGGAGCCGGCCCCCAGCTTGCTTGCCCCCCCCCCCGGTCCGTCGGTCCCAGCTTTTTGCCGCGCCCCATCCCCCCAACGCCTGGGCCGTGCACCCATCACTCACGGTGCCCTGTGAAACACTTGCAATATGAAACACTTGGATGCAACATACATCGGACACAGATGAACACATACTGTTGCAGCATATGTGTGAAACATATGCAACATCTAGATAAAACACTTGCAACATGTGTGTGAAAACATATGCAACATCCAGATAAAAACACTTGCAACATATGTGTGAAACATATGCAATATCCAGATAAAACACTTGTTGCAACATACGTCTAAAAATAGTTTTTCAAAACGCTTGCAACATAACACTGAAAGTACTTGCAAAAATAATGCAAAATGTGTAACATCTCGATCTACTTTATCAACATCCATATGTAATAATTGCAACATACCTCTGAAAATATCTGAAACACTTAAAACATACATTTGGAACATAGGGAAGGTGAAGGCTGGGGCCGGTTGATTCCGGTCATCGGGGTGGTATCCGGCAGCGAGAGGTGGCGCACGAGCACCAGCACCATCTAGCAGCAACAACACCGGCCTTGGCTAAGCCTAGCGGGCAGCGCGCGCTACAAAAGGGAGCAGGCGACGTGGCGCACGGCCGAAGCGAGGAGCGAGGTGCGGGTGGGGCACGCAATGGGCAGGGGAGAGGAGCGAGCGAGCAAGCAACGTAGTGTCAGAGGCATGGTGGGAGAAGGCCGCAGCAGCGAGCGGAGTGAGGCGCGGCGTCCGGATGAAAATAAGAGACATGTAAATGAGCAAGGAATAAAAAAAGGCAAAGTTGTGGTGCATGACACGCCACGCGTCCATCCGGAGGGAGTCGCTGGTGTCGGACGTCCTGTTTGTAGCATTACCGTTAGATTAGAGATTCAACATAATGCTACTCCAGCCCCTTTGCTTAATTATTAGGATCTTAGTTACCCATAACAACATATCACAAATTCTGGACAATTGTGTCCGATGCTGACCCAGTACATGCTATACTTCATATTTACTAGTACATGATATACTTAGGTTCAATTGCTACGCATACTTACCATTTGTATAATATCGAAATCTAAACTTGTATGCTAGGACGGTTCAGTAGCTCCGGCTGTTCCGGTAGACCTTCTAGGGCGCTTGTGAGAAGCACGTCGTTTGTATTGTTACATTCTTTTACTTAATTACAATAATGCGCAAATCTTTTACGTATTCGTGAAAAAAAATATTTACTAGTACATGAAAAGAATACATGAATAACTATTGTGAAAGCACATTAATGGATAAATGGATGGAATTTTTTTTTGAATCGAAAAATGGATGGAATTAGATATTAGTATTGATGAATATATCCAATGCAACAAGATGAAAGAGTGGAGGGCCAATAATGTGCAATACGAAAAGAAAACGTGGGAGAGAGGAGAGAGAGGAGAGGAGAGATGGTTGGAATTAAGGCATGAGTTGAGGTCGAGGGAGGCCACACTCACTTACTCCTCAGTCTCAGCGACTCAGCGTCATGGTCAGGCCAGGGGCCGGCAGCCACCGGCAGCAGGAGGAGCACCAGCAGGCTGTCTGGCCCCGGTTAGTTAGCATGTTGCCCCGTTGTCCCCTGCCCCACCGCACGAGCTGCCACACCACACCACACCCGCCGGATCCTCTGCACCCACACCACCTCTCCCTCCCCCTGCTCTACTCTACACTTGCTAATCACTCATCATCTAACTAATCACTTGTGTGTGAGACACTAACAACTGGAGTACCTAGCTAGCTAACCATATTTCTTCACTCCTACACATTCTACTAAGCACCGTATGATCCATCAACCCTTGATGCTGATCTTGTGACATAGGAATCACAGATAGTCCGGCGATATAATAAACATCGCGTTCTATCTATACAGCAAAAACTGTTGTGTTTGTGTGTTGAGGACAAGACTTTTGGATCAAGAGCGAACACACCGATGAGTGCTAACTGCTAACAACTCAAGCTAATAACAAGGTCAATCATGTGCGCTAGCTAGTGTGAGGGAATCCTAATGGCTTTCACCCAATGTGGGTATTCAAGTGTCTTGGGTTGGGTGGTGTGCTTCCAACCTCAACTTGCCAAGGAACCAACCAGGCCAAGCCAGTGGAAGCTAACAACAATGCAAGCAAGAGGGAAGGAAAGGAAGGAAACCCTTTTCGTGGTGGTAGAGCAATGACCAAACCAAACCCAAGCCAACTCCCCCACCCCCAAACAAAGATTAGATGTTGATTACCACGGCGATGATGCAGACAGAGAGGAAGAGAGGAGTGAGTGAGTCATTAGCGTTGATGAGAGAGAAGCAACACACACAGGCCACCCAAGGGGGCCACACAACAGCACACAAACACCTAGAGAGAGAGAGGGAGGGAGATCACTCCCTTTACGTGAGCACAATGCCTTGCTAGTACCAACCTTTTTCCAGCTCTCTCTCTCTCTCTCTCTCTCTGCTTCTCTGTCTCTCTCTCTCTTGCTTGCCACTTTGTACACTCCATTGCACTCATCATCAGCTCACACTCATCTCATCACACACACACTGGAATGGCAATTGGCAATGCTGATCACATCTTGACTCGATCAACACTTGAGAAAAATACAAATTACAGTTGATCTGATCTGATCATCCAAGAAGGAGGGAATATTATACACAATTTCGATAGTCCGAAGCAACCACTTGCTAGCAGTAATAAGCAGAGAAAAAATTGGGATGATATATACTCATCAAGGAAAGGAAAAAGAAGAAGAAGAAAGGATACTAAATTAATGAATGAATTAATAGAATTTTTAATCACACAGGGTCAAATCTCAAACATATCTCTGTTTCTGTACCCATAATTCACATCTCCCATTCCAAATTCCCAATCATCTTGATGAACATGAACAAATAATGTAATGAAAATAGCCCAAAAAAAGAAGAGGAAAAAGAAGAATATTTGACAGCAAGGAGAGGAGATCCAATAGAAGTGGCGTGTACTGTATGTATGCAGTAGTAATTATGTATGATGTTGATGAGAAGCAGAGGAGGGAGCTAATTGGTGTGTTTGCGTTTACTAGTAATGGCAGTCAACCAGGGCGGACGGCGTGGCCGGCGGGAACAGCAGCGGCGCCGGAGGCCTCTCGGCGACGGCGGCGAAAGCGAAGCGTGGGGACGTCAGCGCCGCGGGAGCCTCGGCCTCGTCGCAGGGCGCGGGCATGTTGAGGTCCAGCTCCAGGAGGCTCTTCTCCTTCCTGCTGGTGGGCGCGTGCGCGTCGTCCCGGTCCCGGTCCCGCACGGCCGCCGGCACCAGCGGGCGGTGCCGCCGCATGTGGCCGCCCAGCGCCTGCCCGGACCCGAACTCGGCGCCGCAGATGGAGCACTCGTGGACCCGCGGGTGATGATGATGCTTGCCGCCGCTGCTGCTCGTGGCGACGGGAACGGCGGCGGGCGTGGCGGCGCCCGCGTCCTGTCGTTCTTGCTTTGGCGCCGCGGCGACAGAGATCGCGAGCACTGTTGCATCGGCTGTCATTTCCGCCGGGGCCGGGGTCGGCGGCGGAATCGGCGGTGGCGACGTGTCAGCTGGCTCCGCGGCTGCAGGAGCAGGGGTCAGCACCAAGTCCTTTTCCTGGGGCGGCTGCGATGCCGGCGGCGGCACTGGCGGCACCGGAGGAAGCAGCAGGCGTGGTTTCTTGTGACTGGTGCGGTGGCCGCCGAGCGCCTGGAAGGAGGAGAAGCACTTGTTGCACGTCTTGCACTCGTACACGTACGCGCCGGAGGCAGCAGCGCCGCCGTCGCCGGCTGCGGCAGCCGGGCGGCGGCTCCTGAACCTGCTGCTGGCCTCCTTGGCCGCCACCGCCACCGCTGCTGTCGTCCCGCCGCCATCGTCCTTGGCCGCCGCTGCTGGCTCGCCGTGCGCGAGGAGCATGAGGCAGAGCGCCATGTCCTCGTCCTCCTCGGTGAGGCCGCGGCACCCGCCGGCGGACGCGGACGCGGCCTCGTCCGCGGCGGACGGCGACGTAGTGGTCGTCCCTGACCCCGAGACGACCGAGTCCTCCCCGCCGGCTGGCGCCGTGGCAGCCGACGCCGCGGACGACGACCACTCGGGCGCGGGAGCCGGCGCCGCCACCACGACTGGCGGCGCGTGCACGCGCTGCCTCTTGCTGCGCTTGCCCTTGACGAGCACCGGCGGCACCACCATGGCGGGCGGCGTGCCGGCCTCCTCTTCTTGGACGCCGCCGCCCATGGCGCCCCGACCTCGATCGGAGTCGGAGGAGGGATCGGAGACTCGGAGAGGATGGACGAAGGAAGGCAACGTGGAGAGGGGAAGGGTAGCTGGTGATGCTTGAGGAGAAGGGAAGGGATGGCGCTGCAGCTGCGACTGCGAATGCCGCTGCTGCGCTGCGCTGTGCTGTGCTGTGCTTTGCTTTGCTTTTGCTGCGGGTGCCTGTGAAGGATATGATGTGATGCCGATGACAGACGGACACGGAGACACCACACCACCACCACCACCTCCACCTCCACCACAGAGGAAGAGGAGGGGGGTGGATGGCTATGTCAACAAGACAAGGCAAGGGGAGGGGAGGTGGAGAAAGCTAGGAGGTTGACATATGCCCATGGCTGGCAATGTGTTGTGGCCATAAACTACAGCCTGTTCGCGATCGTAAATTTTCAGTCGGAAACAGTGTTTTTCTCTTACACCAAACCAGCCAGCAGTAAATAATCCACGATACGATACGGCCTCCCGAACAGGCTGCTAATCATCATGGGGATTGCATTTGCACCGGCATTGGTTGAGGGAAGCCTGCTACACTGCTACCATTTTACTGTCCAACAGAGTTTTTCTTAGGTACTCCATATCCCGTAAAGAGTGTCATTCCTATTTTTCGAAAAAATAAATGTTTTAAACTTTGACTAAACATATAAAAATATTAATATTTATAATGGATTATTAGTATCAATAGATCAATCATTGAATATATTTTAATAATAAATTTATTTAGATATATAAATGTTACTAATATTTTTTATAAATCTAGTTAAAGTTAAGAAAAGTTTGACCAGCATGAACCCTAGAACAACATTTTTTTTGGGTACGCTTTTCATTTGGATTGCAGATTTGTTTTTTTTACAGTTTCAAGAGAGTTTTTAAATTGGTACAAGAAAATTACTAAGTCTTAATGTTAAAAATAATATTTATAATGTAATGCATGGTGCCTGAGTGATGAGATTTATGGTACCAGATCGAGGTGTGTGTGACAGCGCGCTTTGGTGGTAGTATCCTTTAGTGTCCTTTTTGTGTGCATGGACACAAGACTGGCTCTGCCACCTAATTAGTAGTGAGTGTCTAACTAAAAGTGTCAGGACTTTGGACGGTGTCGAAAGTGAGTGTGTTTAATCAGGTGTACCTGCACATTACTGTCTCATGTGGTCCTTTATATATATATATATATATATATATATATATATATATATATATATATATATATATATATATATATATATATATATATATATATATATATATATATATATATATATATATATAACTGCTGCCTTGTGTTGCTACATTACTGATAATTACTATGTTAATTTCTTAGATTATAGTAATCTTGCTAAGTGATTTATATAATGTTATGGTAAATATCCATGTGTTATATGGCAACTATCGTAAATATGTATTGACATTTCGTAAATTAGTATATAAAATTATCCACCATTTATGTTAATGGCTCTGAATATACTCTCCATATATATATATATTTCCATCCACCATTTATGCTTAATTCCCCTGTAAATTGCTCAGCACACACAAGTTGTCGTCGTTACACCCAAAATTCAATTCCTAGCACAGATTGACCATACTGCATTCCTAGAGATAGGAGAATATATCGAGGCGTGTATTGACCGGTGTCGCCACCTTTGTTGACGATCGATCTCAAATTCACAGCAGTTTGCAAGTCACCAATGGGTTTTCATCTCTTCTCTTCTCTTGCCTTGGCAATGTGGATGTGTCCTTCACGGCCAATAGCACAAGTCCAATGCGTCACTGACAGATGAAAATTCCGATGAATAGGTATGTGTTTGGATATTTCTGCAATCCAATCCTTTTCCGCCCTGTTTCAAAAAAAAAATCCTTTTCCGTCCTTTATTTTATTGATTGATGAGTCCACAAGGAGATACCCGTTTTGCAAACAAGCAAACAATGCAGCTGAGGCAGACATATCATGTTACTTCGATCATATCTATGCCTCATATTTATCCATCTGTGCATCAGACTATCTATGAGAGTATATAATGCTGGTTTATTTCCTTGCAACTGCAAATTCATTACCTATATTTACATTATCGCGCGCAAAGGTAGATTTTTTTATAAAAAAATGAAAAATATTTTTTCGGGGGAAAGTATGTAGTACCTATGCAATTCAGTCAAGCATAAGTTAGTGGGAAGTGGTTGAAGCCATAATTCCACCCTTGAACAACTACCATGAGATTAGGTTAGCATATCAATATACTGTTTGGCTAGAGTGAAATTAGCTTATCAGTGCACTGTTTGAGCATAAAGATTTAGGGAAGATGCTTGAAGAGACAAAAGGTAAGGATGGAGGCTTAGCTTGAAGAGAAAAGAAAGTGATTTCAACCTTGAAAATAGATTTCTACAGTTCTCTGTTAATACATATACTAGGAGACTTCTCTTTCCCGGCTTCCTTTGTGCCAACTCCTTTGTTAATTTCTGAAATGGAGTAATGGCCAAAATAAAAAAAATGCATAAAGAGATCTGTTTTCTGCTTTTCTACATCTCCTCTTGCTTCTCAACCGCTTTATATTTTTCCTCACTTTATAACCATACTGTTTTTTTCTTTGAAAAATGGAATGCCCACACTCAGGGATTCAACTTATATGCTCTTGAATATAACACAGTATAAAAACTAACGCTTGAATGTAAGTTTTTTTAAAGTAATCAAATCTTGTATTTTTGCATTGACCTGTTAGATATTGCATTTTTTTGTTACTTTCAATCAATATGCTCTGGATTTTTTTTAACATTACATTATTTACCTTAATATGCTTTATTATTTTCTCAATTTAACATGGATAAATTACGTAGAAAGACATCACTAAAATAGTAATGACTTTCTAGATCTTTCTAATCTGCATCATGTACACATCTCTAGTGTGTTGCAAGACATCTCCCACGGCAGCTAATTAGCTCTTCCTTTTACCGTAGGTCAAGCATTCAGTACAACCGCTTCCTCAACTGTACACACTAGCTCAGTCCATCCATGGCCATCCCCTTTAATTATACATGCCCATGATCCAAACATTAGATGTCAATGAGAGGAAATGAGTGATCTTTAATCATTTGATACCGTGTAAAACCGTTGGCACTCGAATAAACATAGTTTTGTTCAGGTCAGAGGTTGGTTGGCTTGCTTGCGTCCCACTCCTATTTTTTTATAGGAAGAGGCAGAAGCAGCAACTCTGGCTGTTGCCTGTCTTTGAAGCTGCGACAATACTTTAGTGTGTGTGTGTGTGTGTGTTGTGTGTACTAGTAGCATGGTAGTGGAGATGGTGTGAGTGTAAGCAACAACTGCTTCACTCCCCTTGCTAATCTCTCTCTCTCTCTCTCTCCCTCATGCCCAGAAATGGAATTTGGGATGATCTGGTTTTTAAAAAATGTCACTAAAATCATGAGAGATTCTCAATGATTTATAAAAATAAGATTATGTTGTGATAGAGCCAATGAGACGGTAAGACGACATGGCTCCCCATTTTCTTGTCATGGCCAATCTGGTACTGTACATACATGCATTTTGTTGAAAGTAGCAGCTGCTTGCTTCTACGTAACTTTTATGCTGTAGATGAGCTATTTTCAGGGCGAAAGAAATTTCCACGGCAACTGGCGTCCTGGTTGCGCAACTTGGACCGGAACTGCCCCTTTTAACTTTGCATTTTACTCGAAATTTTAAGTTATATTTAGTTTCATCAGCTCTGTTCCTGATCTAATTAAGGAGGCAAATTGTTTTCAGGTTCAGACTTGTTCTCGTCATCATTTCTTTACTTGCCCTGCACTCCCATTTCCGTCATCACAGCAATGTTTACATCACAGTCAGGCCACTTGCATGCTCAAAGGGCAACTACCTAATTGCTGTATCCTGCACTGTATGTGGCTAAAATTCTTGGAAGATTTACCTTAAAAATTTATCAAAACTTAATGTGACAAGCATTCAATTGTATGTAAAGTGGATCTAGAAGTAAAACAGAGCCAATGCGCAAGCAGATCTCTCAGCAGAATTGGGCCCTGTTACAAGAGGTCTGAAGAACAATTTTGACTCAGGGTTGTGCCTCCTAGCTAATAAATAAATAAATAAAAGGAATGACAGCCTGTCTTCAGCTTGGTTGTCCAAGTGTCAGATACTTGGGAGCACAAAATGGAGAAGGCCCATTCATTCTGAGACTTTGCGTGCAACCAGCTTCCATGTACACCTCAACATTTGACACCAATGTTAACACTGCGCGAAACAAGAAACGGCATTCAGAGTCCTACATAAATAAGAAAGCCAAAGAAAAGGAAATTACGTCGAGAAGACAGGAGTTCCTTGATAGTTTTGAAGATTTTCCCTGGAGATTTTCCCCATCTTTAAAGAAGATTGCACATAGTTTCATTCAATCTGGTCCTGATTCTTGCATATGTTATTCACTCTTTCTCGCTTTTACACATGTGGTTTGGTTTAGCTGCAGGTAAAATAACTGTGCACAGCAACAGGCCGAAAAAACTGCAGCCATCGATCAGCCATACTCCCAAATAAGTTCTACAGCAGAGGAATTGACAGTACGCATATACAATACTTGATTGCTTGGTAAATATAAATTAATGCACTGATTCTATGCATTGACCCCCCATCAACTCACTTACTACTGGATCTATCCACTTACTTGTGCAGATGAAGAGATGGCAGTTGTGCAGTTCAGCCAGCCCACTGACACAGTTTGACTTGGGCAATATGTTGTGCACTAATTAAGCACTTGTTGATCGTTTGCTGGCATGTTGGCTCTATTGCAACAACAACAACCCCAACCCCTCATGTTCGTCGATTCTTGGATTTGGAGACTACTAATAACAACAGCTCATGTGTAACGACGTGTCACCGAGACAGGGGAATGGAATACGTAGTATAAGATTGGGTGACTTTTCTTGCATGTGGAGCATTGTTACAAATCATCTGGGGTATGGTTTTTGGCTACTTGTTGGCAGTCTAAAACTCGGCTGGCTTTTTAAGCTCCTACTAAGTTCAACCCTAAGCGTTCCCAAGTTGAGAATTCTTCTCGTCCTGTCTTTGCTTCATTGCTTGCCCTACACTACACTCCCAGCTCCGTCATCGAGACCATGTAACAGCGCACGAGTGTACGTCACAACAATTCAACTTGCTTGCTCAAAGGGTAACATACAACCGACTACTTTCTTTGTGGAGTACAATCCGTCTTCAACAGAGAAATTCAATACAAATTGAGTGTTGTTTGACAAAAACCATACCAAGTGATAGAATGCTTGACTAGTAGACAGGGCACTGCCAATGGCATCGACCGGAGGTCCATTCTGCTTTGCAGCATAGAGAAAAGAAGAATTGACTCAAATTACATTTGCTCTCTCGGAAGAGGAAGAAGAACGCAACTATTTTTTAGCACAGCCGGGCTCCAGCTTAGTTGGGCTAAGTGCTCAGCTGCACCCATTTGACTTCATTTCCACTGTCTTTGCCTGCAATCCCTATGCTTTGACCCAATGTCTTGCGAAAAAAAAGAAACCAAAGTGCAATCCAGAATCTATTGAAACTTGATTGTTAAAAGGAGAAATCTCTGGGTTGCAAATAGGGTATAATTTCATTTCGTTTGAGTTGGTCAGATTGTTGATCCTCAGTCTTTGATTTGACTCTACACACCGTCAAGCCATTTAAAAAGTAGTGTGATTGTGGGACTGAGGAGCATCAGCATAGCTAGGATCGATGTCACAGAATTGACGGTAAAAGTTTACCATTTCATTGACCTGTGCACAAGATTAGCTAGAGACGTTGGTGCACTTAGGCCACTGATGCTCTTTGACTTGGTTATGTTAGTTGTCGCAGCCATAGCAGCCGGCATTCCAACCAACGCAACACTCGCTCATGTTCCTCCCCATCATTGGAGTCTCTCGGCTTAGAAATTAAAAAGAGCTTAATCAGAACGTGTCAGCTGAGATTGGGGGAATTTTTTCGCATGTAGAGCATAGTATCTCTGCCAAATCACGGCGTCAACCTTGCTCCTTTGGCACACGTTCCTGGAAGTTTACCTACCGCATACGAGTTCATCTCTACAAACTTAGATATAAAATTTTAGATAATGAGCCGCAAGAAAACAAAAAACCCCTGCTAACCATGAAACAAGAAGTGCTGTTTACTAAAAGCCAGTGCAGCTTCATGTAAAATTATTCGATGTAAATAACAGTAATGAACTTTTATGATCGATACATGCAAGTACAATGATCTGTAGAAAATAGGAAATGAATCTTGTCCAGGTCACTGAATAGATATGCAGTACATTGAAAAGAGTTTAGCTTGTTTATCATTTATTATTGTTCATGCTTGAAATGTTTTTCATCGCGGCGGTTTTCACTTGGGGTCCAAGCCTTAGTTCTTGAAGCCGTCAATAATCAAGTTGCAGGCGTTCATGGTGTTCCCATTTAGCAGATTGTGGTTCCAGAGTTTGATCATAAAAAGCCTCCAGCACCTGTTTCAGCAAGAAATCTCCAATACAAAAAAAAAAACAGCACCCCCCAAAACATATGAAAATGCATGTCTGCTGCGGTCCGCAGCCATGCATACAAACTCACGTAGTAGTCACTCACCCTAATAGCGATGGGCTTCGTGCAAGTAATTGTCCATGAAGCTGGGAGAATGCTTTACAGGCAAATGGTATATGACTATCAGCTATCACCCTGCAATTTACCCTTCCATTTTCAGTAAGGAGATACAGACATATACGTCAAGGACATGAGGAAACAAAGATGTTGCAGCATCTGACAAACTAAATTGTAGTTCCAAAAAAAAATATTGATAGGAGTGACTGCAAATATGTAGTCAAAATTAGTTTTTACTACTCTGATTAGACCAGAAGCATTTTTTTTTCTTCCATTTTGATTGTTGTAAGGATACAAGTGGGGTATCCAATGGTGTTTTTTTTGTCAGCTAACTAATTACGGTCAAATATCATTCTAGTTCATTTCACTCACTCAAATTACATCCAATATCATTCTAGTTCATGTGAATAAGTTTTTGGGTTGACCCAGTGACCGAAAGTAATTAGAACTTGCACACCTTGTTAAAAAAAACTCTTTCATAGACAATTTCACCTTTATAAGAAAAATGATAGAAAAGTCTATTTTCAGCCCGCGAGCTTTTATTTTAGTAGGGATTTAACCCCCAAACTCCAATACCAAACATGCGCAATCCTTTAACTATTAAAACCGAACAGCTTTAGCCCTTGGCTGGTTTCAAAAGTGGTTTTGAGTATATGTATATTTTCTAAAAATAAAATAATAGTTAAATCTCTCAAATTCATAAATAATTGTTTTTAAATCAGAGTCAGAAATATATAAAATTGGTACCAATTTTTTTTGTAAAAATATAATCTATCTATTTAAATAAATTAGTTATGAATTCAAGAAATTTTAAATATTTTTATTTAAAATATAATCTATCTATTGTTCTCATGTTTTGAAATTTCAAAATTTTAAATTGTTCGAAGGAACTTGGATGGAGAAAGGATCAAAACCAAACAAAATTTTACTTGATTTTCTCATATTTTAAAATTTTTTTTTTCAAATTGTTCGAACGAACTCAGATGTAGAAATGACCAAAACCAAAGTTATAGATCTTAACGAGAACTATAACTTTGTAGTTGACGACTTTTTCATTTGAAACCATTTATAATCCCACAATTCTATTTGAATTTTTCATATTTTGAAATTCAATTTTTTCGAATCGTCCTAACAAACTCAGATAGAGAAATGACCAAAATAAAAATTGCAGATCTAGATGAGATATATAATTTTATAGTTTATGACTTTTTCATTTAAAATCATTTACGGTCCTAAAACTCTTTTTGAAGTTCTCATATTTTAAAATTCAATGTTTTGAATTGTTTGAACGAACTCGAATGGAGAAATGAACAAAACCAACGTTTTATATCTCGATGAGATCTACATCTTTGTACTTGATGACTTTCATTTGAAATCATTTGCGGTCCCAAAATTCTGTTTCAAGTTATAATATTTTGAAATTCAAATTTTTTTCAAATTGTTCGAATGAACTTGGACGAAGAAATTACGAAAACCAAAGTTGTTGATCTCAATGAGATAAATTATATTTTTATTAGAAAATTTTTTGTACCAATTTCACATTTTTTGATTTAAAATTAATTATATATGAATTTTGGTACACTTCTGTTGTGCATAACTCAACAAAATTATGCTTGTTGATCATAACTATTGCAGTTACATAGTGAATACCGCAAATACATGAATTAATTTCTAGTAACAGGACGTCAGATTTTCTTAACCCTAGCAAACATACTGGACCTAATCCAAACCTCAACATGGACAGCTATCTACATGGTTACAAACATGTTGCATATATACACACTAATTCTAGAGTCACATTTATTCTCAGTCTAACTCAAGTCACCTACGCAACCTCACCAAAAGAAGGCAATACTTAAAAACATGCCATAGGAGTAAAGACAATTTGGGTTAGTCAATCAATAGCAGGAAGTGAAATCACTTCTATTTACCGTGATAGCAGAAACTATGAGGAAATATTGGGGATGGAATAGCAGGAAGTGAAATCACTTCTATTTACCGTGATAGCAGAAATTAAGAGGAAATATTGGGGATGGACTGACCTCTGTCTCGAAACAAATGAATTCCACATATGCATGACACGCTTCTCATCTATTGCAATACCATCGAAACTATCAAGCATCTGCATTCAGTCAGAAAGTTAAAAATAAGAACTAAACTATTTTGCAGTAATACAGGATGAGTTGGGCTCAAGCTAAGGTAGCATATGCTCATATTCATGTTTGTGCAAGAACAGAGCAGAAAGATTATCACATCTTACCTTTCTATCTTCAAAGTCAGCAACATCATCATCAACTTCGTCTTCACTATCATGATTTGAGAGAACTTCTTCAACTGTCATTTGCTACAATAAGTATAAAGAGATAGTTAAGCTAGATTGCAAATATAGGAATGAATCATGTTGGACAGTTGGAGCATTGCAAATATAGGAATGAATCATGTTGGACAGTTGGAGCCACGTTAACATGATACTGGGAACCAATGGTCAAGGAGAACGAATTAAATTACCAGAATGAAAAGCATAACTGCATATATAACACAAATGCTGAAAATTGGCCCGAAATGTTTGGACATGGAAACAAAACTGAAATTAGCAAGCTTCACAAACATCATCAAATGCTTCCTCCAACATTATATCAGGCCTTCCCATCAAATTGGTTGATCATTTGTGAAAATATGGTACCAAGTAGTATGCACTATGCCACCAAGTAGTTATAAGTGACTACTTCACTTGGTATGTGTTCTGAAAGTTGCCATGCACTGTGATGATGCCCTTGGGCCCTGGGATCTTGAGCTTGAGGTAGGCATAATTTAGGACAGCCATGAACTTTGCTTAGCATGGTCTCCCAAGTATGGCATTGTAAGGCCATGTGAAGCCCACCACCTCGAAGGTGAGTTTCTCCGTCCTGATGTTGCTTTGGTCATCGAACGTGACGGAGAGAGCGATGCGTCCGAGTGGCATAGCGTGCCTTCCGAGGATGACTCCGTGGAATGGTGCATCAAACGGACTAAGTGCCAATCTAGAGATCCGCAACCTATCGAAGGCATCCACATAGAATATGTTGAAGCTACTCCCTCCATCCATTAGGACCTTCGTCATCTGGACATCTCCCACCATGGGATCAACCACAAGAGAGAAGCGACCCCACTCAGGGACATCGAAGGTGATCGATTTCTCCAACCACGTGAGGTGGCTTGGAAATACAGGTTGGACGATGTTGACGTCACAAGCGATAAGCTTCTCCTAACGCTTGGATTCATAGGTCTTGGGCCCGCCGAATATGAGCATCGTATCCCGCACTTCTAGGAACTCGATACTCATGTTCCCTTTGTTGTCGACGGTCAGTGGATCTTCCTTCTGAGCAGCCTTAGCGTTTTTGAAGGCGTCCGAATACCACTTCCTCATGGTGTCGTAGTCCTACGCAAGGTGCTTGACCTTGTAGCCATGGAGACATGGGGCGTTCATGATGTCCATGTACTTGATCGAGTTGTTGTGGGAACGCTGCTTCTGTTCTGTTTTGTCGGCGGCTCCCATGAAGTTCCTCTTGCGATTTTCGTCCTTCCTCCTAGGGGAAGAGGGGGCTCGTTGTCGTCGCCCTCGGCCGCCTTTTGCTTGCCCATATGCTTGTCGACGTTCGCGTTGACTACTTCGTCACCGCCTTTTGCTTGCCCTTATGCTTGTCGACGTTCACGTTGACTATTTTGTCATTGTTGGCGTAGTTGATGACAATTTTGAGGAGTTCGCGCATCATCAAGACTTCCATTCTACTGATCCTGTGGACTAGTTCTTGGCATCCGACTCCCCTCATGAAGGTGACGACCTTGTTCTCCGCGATTTTGGGGAGCTCGTTGCGCTTGCGAGTGAAGCGCTGGATGTAGGGCGTGTTTGGTTGGAGACCAAAGCTTGCCATGCTAAAAGTTAGTCATGCCACATTTTCTTCGGTAGCTATTTGGTTCACTGCCACAGCTATGGCATGCCAAACTTTCTTAGTACCCTGCCCCACATATCATAGACTCATTTTCATGCCAAACCTTACCACAAGTGTGGCTTCGATTTTGTTCGCCACACTTTCTGTGGCAGCCGCAGTTTGCCGAAGGTTAGGCGTGGCAAGTTTTAGTCACCAACCAAACAGGCCCGTATCACGAAGTCGCTCCCCGTGTTCACGTCGGCAGTTAGATAGGTCCCACGTAGTGTCGGATTTGGTGCAGGCTACCTCAAAGCTATCAATTAAGAGTTGTTCGAGCTTTCGAGGTCATCCCATCCTTTGATGGTGTTGTGTGGGAGATGCTTGAGCCAAATGCGAGCTGAGTTGACGAGGTACATCAAGATGCACTGCATGGAAAAGAGCGAGTCTGTGGCGTCTGCCGCATGGCTAGTCGATAATCTTCCATGCAGTTCTTTGGACTAGTGTTCCCATCGTACTTCTAGAAGTTGTGGGGTGCTTGGAAGCTAGGTGGGGTTAGAGCCATCCGGACCAGGTGCTCGAAAGACTTCGATTTGACTCGATCAGGCATCGGACTATGGTTGTTGTTAGGGCCTCTCTGCCCGATGCCGTTGTTCTGATGGCCTCCAGGAGTGTCGTGATGGCCTCCAAAACTGACAGCTATTCTCCGGTGTATGCTCGCGTCTATCGCAATCGGGGAACCTCGGGGCAAAGTTCGGTAACAACCTTTGGCGACGTTCGCAGTCGGGATCGCTCTGTGCACGACATCATGTGTCGAGCATGTTCAGGCAACTCCGCGTTCTCCGATCCAGTGATGGACTGATTCCTCGCGAGAGTTCGAGCTAAGAGGTCGTTGTTCACCCGCTCCTTCGCGAGCCGGCGGTTACAACGTCAAGTTGTGTCAAGGGGAGACATTGCGTCTGGTGGCGGCTTCGTGTAGTGCTGGTCTGGCTACTCTCAGGTGGCTGTTCCGCCGTATTTTGCACTAGAACTTGCAGTTTGCAGTGTGATCTACATGTTTGTTCTGTTGACGGCTCAGGCAGATTATCGAGAATCTTAATAGTTGCCCCAGGTTCTGGTTTGGTCAAGCCTCCTGCACTCGCCTGCCTTTCCACTGAAGGTCTTGGTTGCAGTCTCGACCATCAAGTTGACCCTCGAGGTCCTCTCATTGATGGTTGAGCTCCCCGCACACGTCGCTGCTCGGACATTTTAGATTTGGCCGAGGGTGTTGAGCTCCTTGATCTCGACGTGCTCCTGGTTGTGTTGAAGGTTATCTCTAGTGTTTCCCGCTACAGCTACTGTGGCGTCGTTGTTGTTTTGCTCGTGGCCATTGAGGTCCGATTCTGCCATGAAGCACTCCCTCGAGGGGTGATGGTTGGCTTCGCTTATGTTGTCTAACAGGTCGGTCGAATAAGATCCGATCGCATCGAGCTAAGAGGCATTCATGGTCCAGATAGATCATTGAGATCTGCCATGGCGACGAACCGTGCGGCTTCATCGATACATTGGTCATAGAGTCATTATCGACGAACCGTGCACAGATATCTTGCTTTCCAAGTAGTTGATAGACCATGTTTGGCTTGGGCCTCTTCCTTAGGAAGCTAGGCCCACCTTGTCCTAGTCGGGCTAATCTCCTGGAAGTGAGGGTACCCAAGGCCCAACATATCGGCAGATATATACTACTGGCCTGTCATTTTCAAGCCCACTTGGCCAAACATGACTTTCCCTAACCCTTCTAAATCCCCAGGCAGGCACATAGCTAGCAATCGCCGCCACTCATCCTTCTCGTTCCATTCTCTGTTCTTGGCATCATAGAGCTGCCTAAAATTCCTCATCGACGATCATTAACTCACACCTAGGACTACCAAATTGCCCTCGCCCAACCTTCTCTCTGGTGCTGTCAATTTGCTTGGGAATTGGAGGAATGCACTACCCCAGGTGCTGTCAATTTGCTTGGGAATTGGAGGCATGCACTACCCCAGCGTCTAAGACTCTACAAGAAGGCTATACCCTCACCGTCTTCAACGATTCTACCTTGTTCCCTTCGTTGTGGCTCTTGCATGTTTGATACCTCTAGATGTCTAGGCGGCTAATAGGACGATGTCCCCAATACCGGGCATCCATCTCAAACAGCGTCCCTTATCAATCCCATTTATGATCTCGAACGATCGCTCCTAGGACAGAACGTCGTGTCGTACGCACCCCAGTGACTATGATTAGGCATACCTTCTTGTGCTCGTGCTAGTTGTTGTCAGAATGCTCCGGCCCGTTCCCTATGCTCGTCATTAGGGCTACAACCATCATGCTTCTAGATCTCCACCTACCCGTGGCTAGGTTGTGCCCTGTCCCACGCCGCTCTATTGGCACCTGGGTTAGGATACGCTTCCTACCTGGCGGCTAGGCCAGCTACGTCCATCCCCATGCTCCATCGCCCTCGAGCCCGAACACCACACCGATTGGAGCACCAACACCAGTGAATGGATCTGACCATCTTCACTACCCTACCCCCTTCTGCCTTTATCCCATCGCTCAGGCCTCTCCATGTGAGCCACCATGTCCATGCTATCAGTTTGTGCCTGTCATCGAGCAACCCACACCTAGAGGCCACAACCAACCGAAGCCCATCCTCCCGTGCCGCCGCTACCAGCTCACCAATTGTCGTGCCCACCATTAGGCGTCCTGACATAGGCAACTGGGCTAGCCACTATCATGGCGCACAGCTCTAGCTGCAACGCCTACCAAGGAACTCGTTGGCCCGTTGTTGTTGTTGTATCTTTATCCCCACCATTGATCTAGGTTGAGTCGCCCACTGCCCGTCAACCTCGTACATATTTCCTCCAACATCAGCATCGACTACATCGGTCTCTACCTCCTCAACATGTGACTAGGCCAGACACTCGACTCCTCGACCATGTGACTAGGCCGGGCACGTGATGCTGAGGAGACACCTTCCCGTATCGCTTTTTGAGCATCCTATCAGCACAATTTCATTGTCAGTTCGTCACCACCACTGTAGTTCAGGACGTCTCCACCAACTTCGCTTGTTGAGGAGACACCTTCCCATGTTGATTTTTGGTCATCCTGTCATCACCTTCATTGTCGGTTCTTCACCACCACTGTAGATCGGGACGTCCCGCCAACTTCTTCCATCGTCAACCCGCCTCACGCGTATTGGATCTAATGACCGATTGTGTGAGCTCTATCTGGCCCCTAGCTCCAGTAACACCTGTCATCGAGTACTAAGCTCATCTTCTCAGCATAGGCAGACCCACTGGGTACAGTGGGTGGGCCACATCATAGCCTGGACCAAGCATACATAGCAGATTCGCTTGCCGCACAAAGTGTAGAACCGCATGAATGCCGAGTGTTTTGCCTGCCGCACTAGGTGAATATCAAGTCCCAACGCCTCAACCACATGCCTCACTGCCAGCCAACCCTTCAATTCCTCGTCTCGTCGACCCAATTCAAAGAAGAGGTAGCCACAATCGTCGTGGAGGCCTTCTCTTCTGGTCCCTCAAACGCTAACGCATGGTTGGGCCCTCTCCCTTGTACATCTAGTATTGGCAACACCAGTGCATGCTCTCGTCCTCGACGTGTTGCTGGTCTAGCAAACCTAGCACATGCCTGCCTCAGCTTCAGCTATGGCGGCTTGACTACATCGACCCTCTCTATCTCGTCTGCCCTGATTGCATTGTTGTTTTCATCTCTGTCCTCGACGATACCGGCATCACCCCTTCCACAACGACTGCCTCACCATAGCCTCATTGCGCCCACGACTTCGTGTGTGACCGCCTCGACATTGGCAACCCGACCATGACTACATCGACCATGGCTATCTTAAGCACAACACCTTCAACTATGGCTACTTCATTAGTCTTTGGAGAGATAAACCTTCAGAAAAGTAGTGTTCTCCCTATAAGGTGTAATGTGGATGATGAGCAGATCCGCAGAAACCCTACCTTGTCACTTTCCGACTTCCCTTGTAAATACCTAGGGGTCCCCTTTCTCCTCATAAGCTATCCAAAGAACAGTTCAGCCCATCATCGAGAAAATTGCAGATCGACTACCAAGTCGGAAAGCTGATTTGCTTACTTAAAACCGGAAGAGTGGTCTTGGTTCAGTTTGTTCTCACCTCAATGTTGATCTACATCATCATGGCACTTGATCTACCCTCATGGGCTTTGAAGGCAATTGATAAGATAAGAAGGGGTTTCTATGGAAAGGAAGAAGAGATGTCGTGGGGGCAATTGCTTGCTAGCCCGGCCAAAGGTCACTAGATCTCTTATCTGGGAGGTCTTGGTATTTCTAATCTTCAAAACTTGGGATGGGCTTTAAAACTCCGATGGTTATGGCTGCAGTAAACAGAACCCGACAAAGCCCGGGCTTTTTTTCCCCATCCAAGCTCATTCTCAAGTCCAAGCATTCTTTGCTATGGCTGTTGACACAGTAGTAGGCAATGGAAAAAATACTGCTTTTGGACAGATAGATGGTTGCTTGGTCGAGCTTAGAACAGGCCATGCCACATTTGTTTAGCGCTATAGCAACCGAGCAAGGAAAAGATCAATTTACGATGCTATCAATGGGGAAAATGGGTTTCTGATATAAGAGGTGCTTTAAGTGTGCCTGTTCTGATTGAATACCTTCACCTTTGGGGTCTTTTTGTCAAATGTGGTACTGCATCCTGAGGTGGAAGATACACATATCTGGAAACTTTCACTTCCGGTATGTATTCTAATAAATCAGCTTATGAGGCCTTGTTCATTGGAGCTACTCATTTCAGTCCTTGGGAGTTGATCTGGAAGAGCTGGGCCCTAGGGAAGTGCAAGTTCTTCATGTGGACAGTAGCTCACAACTGAGACTAGCACGCCGAGGTCTTGATCACCCAACGCAGTGTCCACTCTGTGATCAGGCTGGTGAAACAATAGACCATCTTCTGATCTCTTGTGTCTTCGCCCCGCAAACATGGTACAACATTCTGCAATCTTTTGGACTGCAAGATGTGGCTCCACAAATGGTTGATTTGATTTTTGTGGACTGGTGGGAGGAGCTTGCAGCAGGCTTTCTGGTCAAGTGAAGAAGGGTTCAATTCCATTATTATTTTGGGAGCTTGGTTAATTTGGAAGCATCGAAACCATTGTGTTTTTGATGGTGGAACTCCTAGCCTAGCTAGGGTCCTCTCAGCTTTTAAGGAAGAAGCTCAAGAGTGGGCAGCAGCAGGGGCTCGAGGAGTTTCTTATCTCCTTGCCCCGGCTCCTACCTCCTAGCTCTTTGGGTCCCGTGGTGGTTTTTGGTCCTGCCTTATAGTTCTCTAGAGACATAACATTAGTTTGGGTTCTTAGGGTGGGCTGCATCTTTTCTCTGTAACACCTTTTTTTTTTTTTTTTTTTTTTTTTTTTTTTCTGTGTTTTTGTAACAGTTTGTTTTGGGGCTCTTTTCCCCCTCCTTTTTCTTCTTAATATATTGATGCGCAGTTCTCCTGCGCGTTCGAGAAAAATAATTACATGTAAACTGAGAGCTTTTTCTTTTGGGCCTGGTTGCCTTGTACTTTTGCTTGTGTTTCGTTTTTCTCCCTGTACACAACATTCTTTCATTTAATTGAAAAAAAAATATAGGTAGGGGATTCCCCTGCTGATTCAGTCAAAAAACCATGGCTACTTCGCCCTCACACTCGGCTACCTCGACATCAGCACCGAGGGCTACCATCTTGCATGAGCTACTCGTCGGTTTTCTTCTCTATATAGAGTACCGTAAAGACTGCAGGGGCATGTAAGATCGTTGGCTTCTACCTTCAGCTTCTTCCTCCTAGTCATTTAAACTCTATATATACCACCCGAGAGGCTCAATGCAAACCATCCAATTCTACCCGATTCTATTCCTCCTACACAGTCAAGATATTTAGAAATATATAGGATGGGAACGAAATAATATATATGAGAAGAGGTACGCAATTTTCAACACCTGTCCTTTGTGAGAATGGAAGAACTGACGTGTTCGAAGGACTTGCCGACTGCCAAATAATATAAACACAAACAAAGCAGCAAGTTAATTTAATAACTTGTACCAAGAGTGAAACAAGATATAATCAATCGTGTAACATGGTATCAAGAACAAAAACAGAAGGGACTTACAGTTTAGGGTCAAACTGATCAACAGACAGTCTCCTGGTCTTTCCAAACTGAATTACTCTTGGTGGTGACAGATGGCCGTCATGTAATGAATAGGCAGGATCAACTGACGTGTCTGACAAAGAATTCCCTTAAAAAATTAGGCAACATCAAAATCCATGATGACTATCTACAAATTTTGTGTGTTGTCTGCAAGACACTTATGGCAGTGGTTGTTTATGTGCCACATGCTATTTATGCAAGTTTCCACCTGCATATTATTAGTTGGACGCTATAGACAATTGTTGCTGGTTTAGTCTTTATACTATTTTTTGGGGAACTAAGTTGGGCGTACCCAATGCAGAGAGCTCCCGCTCTGTGCGGGGTCTGGGGAAGGGTGTCAGTGGCAAGCCTTACCCTCGCCTGTGCAATGCGAGGAGACCGCGACTCGAACCCGGGACCTTCCGGTCACAGGTGGTAAGACTCTACCGCTTGCACCAGACCCGCCCTTCTTTGGGGAACTAAGTTGGCACTGTACAAAAAAAAGGGATATCCAGAAAGCGACCCCTTCATGCCATCCATCTTTCCTTTCCACAGTAGTTATCAAGTCATGAAATATGCAATAATATTAGGGCACCATACATCTTAGTAATGCAAGTAAATTAAGTTTTGATGTCAAAATTGTGGGTGTGGGTGTTTATAAGGGATACTCCCCTCATCAGGGAAAAGAAAAAGAAAAAATGTTGAACACATAGCTATTGAACTTTTGATACAAGTTTACTACTTGGATTTTATGCAAATTTACTACTTGGACCGTGTGGCCAATCTCATATTGTATTTAAGTGTAAACATCTAGTACAAAAAAGATATGCAGTTTAAAATATATTTTCTCCTCATAACTAAATTTGTTCAACACATAACTATTAAACTAGGTTAGAAAGAGGAAAGGAGACAAATACAGAATTCATGGACAGGTAGATTTCACTATGTTAACATGAATATAAAAATAAAAAACAACTAAGATAGAAATGGCAGATTTGAAATGCCCAGCCATAAGACAAGAAATCTGACATGGAACACGCTAGGGAAATGGCAAATGCAGATGACCACACCAGCCAGCAAAACAGAGCACGGAACACCAGTACCAAGAAAGCCTCCCCATGCAGCAGCAGAACAGAAAAAGATCAAGTGATGATGATCGGTGGTGAAGTTGAACAGCATAAATCAGCAGTGTGGAGGATGAGTAGCAGCAGGGCAACATGCTCCTGCTACTCCAATCCAGAGGGGCAACCGCACGCATGAGGAACCCTCAAGTCGCAACGGGCAGGTGGACAAGCAGACAGACAGGGTCTACGACAAGCAGGCTTAACAAGGGTGTGTTTGGTTTGAGGATTGGGGTGGTTCATCATCTTCTCACTTACATATTTGTTGGATTTGTGCAATACAATGGGTCAATTCTCCAACACATTATCTCTCATAAGCTAATAATTAGTACAAGCACAAGGAATAGTGATTCCACCAAAATTAATGGGATGAAACCACAATGCAGTGATGCACCCACTCAACTAGCATGGGTTCCTCAAACCAAACACCCAAGAGGATGCAATATAGCTAACGTGCAGCAACGGGCTGCGTATTGATGGACAGGGCAGAGGCGCAACATGGCATCGAAGATAGTGCTGCAATGAGCAGCGTATGGGATTGCAGCAAGCAGCACAAAATCACAGCGCAGCGACAGAACAGAATCAGGGCGCGCAACTTGAGCTGGTGCTCAATGAGTGGCGGCAACGGGCCGCAGGCGAAGAATGGGCCACAATGAGCGGGACGATGGGCGGCTTGCAACAGGGGAACCGCAACGGTGGCCAGAATAGGGGAGCTGGGACAGGCGGCCTCAAGAAGCAGCAGATGAGAGCAGAATTGGCAGTCAAAGAACAGGGCAAACAGTGGCACTGCTCGCCGAGCAACAAAAAAAAAAAAGAGGTGGATCATGAAAGCGGTTATATTAACACTAACCCTAACCCTTATCATTGCTCTAATTCGATATTAAGTGAGCAGAGAGCCATGTCCACCGCCAGCCAAATCACGCGAGCGCGCACCGCCACCGGTGCGGTGACCAACCCCGGCGGTGACACAGTGGGACCCGGAGCCGGAGACCGCGCGACGCGCCTTGCTGCCGCAGAGAAGCAGCGGCTGCGCGCAGGCCGCGGTGGCTGCTGCTGCGGCGCTGCGCGCCGAGATGGAGCGGGAGGAGGGTCGCACAGTCCGATCGGGCGCCGCCGCCAGTCACCGTCACCAAAGCGGCGTCGTGGTCGCCGCGGGCGCTCCCCGGTGCTGCAGACAGTCTACTGCGACTCCGGAGGGGGAACGCCATGGCCAATGCTCACCAAGTCGAACTACCATGAGTGGAGCCAGCTGATGAAGGTCAAGCTGCAGGCCCGGCGGCTATGGGAGGCGGTACACGTCGGCGGCGTCAGCTACGACGACGATCGCCAGGCGCTGGAGGCCCTGTGTGCCGTCGTCCCCACCAAGCTCGGCGCCTCCCTCGCCAACAAGGCCACGGCAAAGCTGGCGTGGGAGTCGATCGCCGCAGCGCGCATCGGCGGAGATCACGTGCGCCAGGCAACGTTGCAGCGCCTCCGAGGGGAGTGGGAAGGCCTCGCCTTCCAGCCAGGTGAGCAAGTCGAGGACTTTGCCCTTCGCCTGACCAACCTGATGGAGCAGATGGCGCACAACGGCGACACCGACCTCACGAAGGAGCGCGCGGTGGAGAAATTCTTCCACTGCATGCCGAAGAAGTACGCGCAGATCGTCATGTCGATCGAGACGCTCCTCGACTTCGAGCAGCTCACCGTCGAGGATGTGATCGTCGAGGATGTGATCAGGAGGCTCAAGGCAGTGCAGGACCGCGAAGAGGGGCCTCACGCCGAGCCAACCGCCGCCGGAGGCAAGCTGTTGTACATGATGGAGCAGTGGCGCGCCTTCGAGAAGGAGGAAGGATCCGGACCATCCGGTTCCTCCAAGGAGCGTCGCCGGCGACCACGCGGCGGCAAGGAGCAGGTCGGGCCCCGGGCTCAGGCAGGCGCTGACGGCGGCGCCGCTGACGAGCGCAAGGCGGCCTAGGATGACACCTACAACTGCGGCAGGTCCGGCCACTGGGCCAAGGACTGCCGCCTTCCTCCACGCCGCGGTGGGCAGGCTCACGTCGCGCAAGCAGGGGAGGAGGATGTTGCTCTGTTCTTGGTGCACGGGTGCGTCGAGCCACAGCAAGAAGCAAGGGAGGGGGTGAAAGGTTCGAGCTTTCCCCTTTCCGTGTCAGCTAGCTCCACACATCTCCACCTCGACGAACCGCGCGCCCACGCCTTCCTCGGCAAAGGCGCAGACGATGACAAGATCGACGGCTAGTACCTCGACACCGGTGCCACGCACCACATGACTGGTCGGCGTGAGTTCTTCTCCGACCTGGACTCTGGCGTGAAGGGCTCCGCCAAGTTCGGTGACGCCTCCGTCGTCGAGATCAAGGGAGTCGGCTCAATCATCTTCAAGGACAAGACGGGGGAGCATCGCCTCCTCACCGGCGTGTACTACATCGCGGCCTTGAGGAACTCCATCAGCGTCAGGCAGCTGGATGAGAACGGCTCAGGGTGGAGATCGAGGACGGCGTGTTGTGCATTGGGATAGAAGCCGCAGCCTTCTTGCCAAGGTGAACCGGGAAAGCAACCGCCTTTATGTGCTTCATGTGCAGGTGGCGCACCCCCTTTGCCTTGTCGCGCCGGGACGATGAGGCGTGGCGCTGGCATGAGCACTTCGGGCATCTTCACTTCGAGGCCCTGAAGCAGCTCAGCAAGGAGGAGATGGTCCCACATGCCCTGTGTCGACCACGTCGATCAGCTCTACGACACCTGTGTGGTGACCAAGCTGAAGTGCCGGCCCTTCCCGCGTCAAGCCTCCTACCGCGCCACCAAGCAGCTCGAGCTGGTGCACGGCGACCTCTGTGGTCCTGTGTCACCGGCCACTCTTGGAGGTCGGCGCTACTTCCTACTGCTCGTCGACGACGCCACCCGCTACATGTGGGCCGTGCTACTCGATTCCAAGGCGGCAGCTGCAGACGCCATCAAGCGCCATCAGGCAGCCGCGGAGGAGTGCGGCCGCAAGCTCCGGGTGCTCCGCACGAACAACGGTGGCGAGTTCACAGCGGCCGAGTTCGCGGCGTACTACGCCAACGAGGGGATTCAACGCCACTACTCCGCGCCCTACTCACCGCAGCAGAACGGCGTGGTCGAGCGCCGCAATCAGACGGTGGTGGCAATGGCACGCGCCCTCCTCAAGCAGTGCAGCAAGCCGACGATCTACTAGGGCGAGGCCGTAAGGACCGTTGTACACCTGCTCAACCGCTCGCCGACCAGTGCACTCGACGGCAAGACGCCATGAGGCCTGGCACGGGCGCAAGCCGGCGGTCAGCTATCTGTGCGTCTTCGGCTGCCTCGCCTTCATCAAGGAGCTGAACCACGTCGGCAAGCTCAACAAGCGCAGCTCGCCAGAGGTCTTCATCGGCTACGCAGAGGGGGCTAAGGCCTACCGCGTGCTCGACCCGGCGACACGACATGTGCGCGTGGCGCGCAACGTCGTGTTCGATGAAGGACATGGCTGGGCATGGGACAAGGTGGTGGACGACAGGTCGGCGACCGCGCTCCGCGACTTCACCGTCGAGTGCGCGTGGGTGGGCGGTGCTGAGGTAGCACAAGGTGCATCCTCGTCGACGTCTAGGTCTTCATCACCAGCGCCGACCTCTTCATCATCTTCGCCACGTTCGCCATCACCAAATCCAGGGGAGTTCGGCAGCCCATCGGCGGTGGTCCGCAGTCCATCGGCAGCAGCTCCGACCTCTCCAACACCTCAGCCGACCACTCCGGCGCACCAGCCGACCTCCTCAGCGTCCTCTACCTCACCCGCTATGACACCAGCGCACGCAAGGCAGCCGGGGGTCAAGTACGCGACGCCACTGGAGGATGATGAAGACCGCCTGGACGCCTACTACGACGATGAGCCCCTCCGGTACCGCACGGTGGCAAAAATCCTCGGAGAGCAGTCTCCACCAGACCAGCCCGAGAGGCTCTTCGCTCAGTTACGTCTTACGCACGCCGGTGAGCCGACCACTTATGCTGAGGCGCAGGGTGATCCGGCGTGGCAGGCGGAGATGGAGCAGGAGCTCAAGTCCGTCGAGCAGAACCGCACCTGGGAGCTGGTGCCACTGCCTGACGGCCATCGCCCCATCACCCTGAAGTGGGTGTTCAAGCTCAAGGACGAGCTAGGCGCGGTGATCAAGCACAAGGCGCGGTGGTAGCACGCGGCTTCGTTCAGCAGGAGGGGATCGACTACGACGACGCCTTTGCCCCGTGGCGCGCATGGAGTTAGCCTGTGTCCTCGCGCTGGCGGCTCAAGAGGGGTGGCAAGTCCACATGGACGTGAAGTTCGCCTTCCTCAACGGCGACCTCAAGGAGGTCTACGTGCGCCAGCCACCTGGCTACGCCGTCGCCGGAGAAGAGGCGAAGGTGTACCGCCTACGCAAGGCACTCTATGGCCTGCACCAAGCACCGCGCGCCTAGAACGCGAAGCTCGACGCCGCACTCAAGAAGATGGGCTTCAAGCAGAGCGCCAATGAGGCGGCGGTGTACCAACGGGGCAGCATACGCAACGTTTTACTGGTCGGCGTCTACGTCGACGACCTCATCATCACCGGCGCTGAAGAGCAGAAGGTGGAGGTGTTCAAGGCGCAGATGAAGAAGGCGTTCGACATGAGTGACCTCGGCCTCCTCTACTTCTACCTCAGCGTCGAAGTGCGCCAGGATGCCAGTAGGATCGCCCTCCGCCAAACCCACTACGCCAAGCGCATCCTCGAGCTCGGCGGCATGACAGGCTGCAATCCAGCCCACACCCCGATGGAGGAGAAGCTCAAGCTGAGTTAGGAGAGCACGGCAGAGGAGGTCTATCCAACCCATTACCGGTGGCTGATCGGGAGCTTGCACTACCTGGTCCATACCCGGCCGAACATCGCGTTCGCCGTCGGGTACATGAGCCAGTTCATGGAGCGGCCGACGATGGAGCATCTGCAGGCCGTCAAGCGAATCCTGCGCTACGTGGCGGGCACCCTCGACTACGGTCTCCACTACGGAAGGGCCCCCTACACGGCGCGGTTCGTTGGCTACTGCGACAGCGACCTCGCCGGCAATGTGGATACCAGCAAGAGCACAACCAGGACGATGTTCTTCCTCGGTGATTGCTTGGTCAGCTGGTAGTCCCTCAAGCAGAAGGTGGTGGCCCTCTCAAGCTGTGAAGCGGAGTACATCACCACCACCACTGCGGCAACTCAGGCACTATGGCTGTCAAGGATGCTGGCAGAGCTCTTTGGCAGAAAGGTGGATGTGGTTGAGCTTTAGGTGGACAGCAAGTCTGCTATAGCTTTGGCCAAGAACCCTGTCTTTCATGAGAGAAGCAAGCACATCCACATCAAGTACTACTTCATCAGAGATTGCTTGGAGGACGGGAGCATCAAGGTCAGCCACATTGCCACTACTGATCAGCTGGCGGACATTCTCACCAAGTCGTTGGGGAAGTCCAAGTTCCAGGAGATGAGAGAGAGGATTGTGCTACAACAGATCACCTCCAGTGCTCGGCACAAGGCTTAGGGGGGGAATGGATAGATAAGCCTAATGCTGAAGCACTTATATCTTACTTTTCCTGCACTTTTACTTTCCTTGGCTTCCAAGCCTAGTGTTAAGAATATACTCAGCATCCACTTTAGTGGTTATAATATGTTGTAGCAAGTGGAAGTCCCCTTTACCTATAAAGGGCTCAGCATCCACTTTAGTGGTTATAATATGTTGTAGCAAGTGGAAGTCCCCTTTACCTATAAAGGGCAAGGGAGTGTCATTGTAAAAAACAAGCCATTGCATTTCCTTTCAATCCAAGCGGCCAAGGGCCAAGCTGCCCTATGGTAGTTCCCAAATCTGAATCTGAGATCTATTTTGGGTCAACACTCTAAAGTTACACTTTGACCATACCTTTTTTTTTTTGAAAACGCAAGAGAGCTGCATTTCATTGTATTAGAGAGAAAAAATGGTCCCCATACAACTCCTTCCTCTCATACGGAGACCGGATATGAGAGTCAGGGATCCAATATAAAAGGTTCTAGCCTAGAAAAACAGAAAAACATGACCCGGCCACACCTAAGCAACTAGGTTTATGACTATAAACTCATGATCATTGCATAGTACATTTGATTGCTGTCATGAACCTTAGTTCATTTGGGGGTAGGGATAGAGATAACCATTGCCAGGAGGAAGGCCGGGCAAAGTCAGCGTCGAGGGCGACTAGAGCATTTGGGGGAATTGGATTCGAGGCGAGGTTTTCCCCTCTGCACCCTATGTTGAAGAAGGAGACTGGGAGCAGAATTGTCTGATTATTGCTTGATTCATCCAAGGCTGATTACACGATATAAATAGGCCACTAGCCACCTGGAGCTAATAATTCTCCTAATTTGTAGCCCCTGACTGCTAGCCTGGCCACTAATGCTCCAGATTGCTAGCCTAGCCACATGACATGGCCACTAATGCCCCTGATTGCTAGCCTAGCCACATGACAGATCATGACAGTTGCTGATGTGGTAAATTGATTGGGCACGAGATACAAGAACAGCAGATAGATTGGTTAACTCGCCTCCTTCAGGAGGCTCTGAGTTAATTCTTCGATGTATTTTTGCTTGCCTTCCCTACCAATCTATGGATGTCGATGCAGCACATCCATGGTTAGAACCGGCCCACTCGCCATAACAACTTGCAAAAATAACCATATCAAGTTTGTATTACAATAGTTAAAAAACTGGTGGCCAAATTATTGGTCAACAATTGTAAAGTTTGAATCTTAATATTCGTGCATGTGCATGTCTTATAAACTGGACCAGAGGGAGTACTAACCTTAGGGATTAGTTCATTTCACAGGCTTAAGAGAAAAAGATTAGAAATGTACCAATTTCCTTCTGCACGTAGCTATCTTCAAAGCTCACATGGGCATCTTCGGGTGATTTTGATCCTACACCAAGTAAAGGTCCATGTCTGATTGTCTCAGTTGCTTTTGAAAGAACGATCCTCTTGGTTGTTTTTGACGGAACGATTGTCTCAGTTACTTTTGATGGAACAATCATCTCAGTATCTTTTGACGGAACAACCGCCTCAGTTGCTGTAACTAATCTTCTGCGCTTCTTGTACTTTGAGCTGATGCAACATTTTAGGCAATAATAGAAATTTTAATAGAAACTTGATAAATCATTAAAGGTAAGGGAGAACAAGCATACAAGTAGGAAAATGTTCTCTGTCTCGGATCAATTCCTGCAGGAAAAACCTGTAAAAACAAAATGCATTAGCTTTTCCCAGGCATTTGTGTCCAAAAATGTTTCTAAAAATAATATTCAGTATGCATGAATCCCCAATGTCTTTTATCTAAAACCCATTGGATCGTCCACTTGAAGCATGCAAATTCTTAAGTGGGTTTTGGTGCACCCTTGATTTTGCATCCAAAGAAAACAAGAACAAAAGCAGACCTATGGTAGTAGAACTAGCAGAAGAATAAGAGGGATGTAAACCATGAAAAACATGTAAACCACAGACTGTGGAAAGTGTATCTATATACACCAGTTGTTAGAAGTGCAGCAGTAGAGGATGAGCAGACTGGAATAGCTAGCTAAGGCTGGACACAGGTTCAGTTTGAAGCAACTGGCTTGACATATTGAATATGCATACATATATATAGCAGTACCTAAGTCGGTTCACAAACCAACCTGCTATTCCTAGCAGCTGTGTAGCAGCTTTACACTAGCAAAATCAAAATTGGCTACTACTACTATCTGTCTAACCGCACCTGTAAGATTGGTAGAGTACAAACTCAGTTGACCACTTGCCTAACAGGCTTTATACTACCTTACTGACCAAGTAAAAAAGGAACCTGCATGGTGGCTAGCTAATTAGGACAAACTACTAATAACACTAGCTAGATAGGTGGTAAACACAAGGGTTACTACTAACACCAGTTTCATTTATTTATCAACTGGATACCAACATACATTTGATGTTCTTTATCATTATTAAATTACCTCATCTCTCCAGGCATTGTGCTTCAAGCTAACATTAACACCCTGTTCCTTCTCAGATATCTGTGAGAACAGGCAAAAAGACTAGTTATTAAACAATTGAGTGTGTGAAGAAGGTTAGTTCTAGAGGTTTACAAACCCAGAACTCAAAGTTGAATCGGTCATGTGATGACATTAAGTGCCATTGCAGACCCTGGCATAACCAAAATCATCATATTAGATATGAACTCAATGGCAGGAAAAATGAGTATTCCTTCTACTTAAATATGAGTTGAAGGTATGGACAAAGAACAATATCTCAAATTCCTCATTACGAAAAGAACAGGCATGAATGTGGCTGAACATTTTTTAAAAAAAAAGGCTATTTGTTATTTTATTTTAATCATTAAAGTGTTAATTCTTTTACTACTAAAACATGACACATAATCCTTAGAACAAAATAGTGAAATATGAACATAACAAAAAAGAAACTTGCTCCAGACTTTACCAGGAAGCTTCCACACTTTACATAGCAGAAGGAGCAGCAAAAACCTTCAGTAACTGGTAAGAAGTTATGTTCAAAAACTGGTAAGAAGGATTTAATAAATCAATATAAGAAAATGTTGTAACTGCGTAAGATAAGAGGAAAGGTTTAAGAATAAAGAAAAAAAATATATATCTCAAACAACTGTCAAAAGTGATGCAAAATTGAAGTACAACAATGGGCAATTGCAAGTGTTTAATTTATAAAAAAATTGGTGAAAAGCTATCAAACAAAGCACAAACAGATGGCGATCCAGGTGTAGCCAAATGAGGCCGTGAGCTATGTTACACCTAAAATGGTAAGTATCTCACCAAACAACGCATTGAAGTCCTTATAAATTGGAAGTTCAATATACTATCCCCAAACAATCTTGGTTGTCCATCTAACAAAATTTTGACTCATTTTACTACACTAAGCCATTCAATTCAGGTCATTTGAACCCCTATCCGGTTTTTTTCCCAAACTACGCAGGAGAGCTGCGTGTCATTTCATTAAGGGAGAAGTAAAAACATAAGTCTGGTTAGACCCTACTCGAGTACAAAAACAACACAAACACACACCCACTTAACTAAAATAGACGCGCCACAAAAATATCGACGACGACCAGACAACACAACCTGCCTTATACCCCCAAGGCCGGCACCCTGACCAAGAGTTCCTTGAGCTTTTTTGCTCCAGCACTGCACCAAAGAATGCCCTCAGCGCTAACAGACCTAAGAACCTCTTGGATGCTTGGCGTGGCATTTTCAAACACACATGAATTACGGTGCTTCCACACCTCCCAGGCTACCAGAATTATCAAGGAGTTGAGACCCTTCCATTCAGCCCATGGTCTTGAAGGATCAGTTTTCTCAGCCCACAGCCAACGAATCCTTAAAGCGCAGCCAAGGAGTTCCAGGTTATGGATCCCAAGGCCACCATATTCAAGAGGTCGCTGCACCTTTCCCAAGCCACCAAACAATTACCGCCATTAGCCTGCTCCTGGCCTTTCCAAAGAAAGCCTCTCCTTTTCTTATCAATAGCCTTCAGAAACCATTTTGGCAAGTCCATGGCAATCAAAAGATAAATGGGAACAGCTGTTAAAACTACTCGAACCATTACCAATCTTGATGCTATGTGTCGACGTGGGCGTGCACATCGCTTGGCGGGGACGCGAATTGGACTGGGCAGCGGAGGGGTCCCTTGTTTCGCTGTAGCAGGGGAAGGCGATGGCGTCTGCACCGGGTACTAGATGACAGGTTGCCCACACCCAGTGTGGGCGGGCTTGCAGACCCATCAGGGCCCAACATCCACGCCGATGCGGCGCTCCACGGACTTGTCGCCTTGGGCCACGACATGCCCGCAGCCACCTCCTCCTGGCCCACATCACCACCGCCACGGATGACAAGGTGTTCGACAACGAAGGTGCCGGGTTCCCCCGTGCCCAGACTTCCCCAGTCCCAAGCTGCCTTCTCGTCGAACACCACATCGAGCGATACCACCTTGCTTCCGCATGGATCGAACAGCCGGTGCGCCTTGCTGCCGACCTTGTACCCGAGGAGCACCATTGGCATGCTCCTATCCTCCAGCTTGGAGAGGTGCGGCTTCGTCGCCTTGACATGGCCGACACACCCGAACGTCCTCAAGAATGAGACGTCGGGCTTCCTCCCATGCCCCGCCTCGAATGGCGTCATGCCCTTCAAACTCTTCATCAACGTGCGGTTGAGGATGAACGCCGTGTGGACACCGCTTCACCCCATAACTCTGTCGGCATCTACTTCGCCTTCATCATGCTTCGGACCATGCCGACAACGGCTGGTTCCGTCGTCCCACAACCCCATTCTGCTGCGGTGAGGTGGCGCACCACGCCGCAGTCAACGCAGTACTCCACGAATTCCATCAAAGTGAACTCGCCTCCACGATCTGTCCTCAACACCTGCAGCTTCTTCCCTGATTTTGCTTTCGCCTCCTGATCTCCGCCGCCCCCTCGTCCTTGCTTGCTAGGAGCTGCAGCCACATGAAACGGCTGCAGTCATCCACTAGCAGCAAGAAGTAGCGCCGCCCTCCGTGCGTTGCCGAGGTGATTGGCCCGCATAGGTCATTGTGGACGAGCTCGAGCACATCACAGCATCTGTACTTTGCCACCTTGGGAAAGGCAGCCTCCTCTGCGTTCCCACCAGGCAGCTGTCACAGCTCGCCGACATGCTTGATGAGTGGGAGCCCGCACACTGTCTCCTTCGCCATCCTCCCGAGCGCGTAAAAGCTCAGATGCCCAAAACGGGCATGCCACAGCCACGGCTCCTCGGCTACCTTCGCCGCGAGGCACACCGGCTGTATGAGTCAAAGATTGAGGATGTAGAGCCGGTTGCTCGACCGCTTCACCTTGGCGAGGAGACATCGCTCCCGGTCGCGGATCCGTAGCACACAATTGTCGACAAGGACTTGCATTCTCAATCGTCGAGCTGGCTGATTCTGACGATGCTTGACAGGAGCCGCAGAATGAAGTAGATGTCCGTCAGCGCGCGTTGCTCGCCGTTCTGGCACTGGAACAGCACCGTGTCGCGCCCGTTGATCTCCATCATCGAGCCGTCACCGAACTTCACGGTTCCGACCACGCTGTCATCGAGCTCTGCAAAGGCTTCTCGCTCGCAGGTCACGTGGTTGCCAGCGCCACTCCTCGAGTCCTCGTCGTCACCGCCCTCGCAACCAAGGTTGACTTGCGCGCGTGATTCGTCGAGGAAGATCACATGCTTCCTCTACTCCAGCGTTGATTCCTTCTCTACGATGTCGTTTAGTGCGCACACCTGCGCCATGAGATGCATCTGCTCCTCCTTGGGATTTTTGCAATCCTGGGACCACACTTGCGGCAAGTGTCGCAGTCAAGGGGGCGCAGCACGTCCCCACCATCCTCTTCTGCACTGGTGGCTTGCCGCGGTGCTTCGCTTTGCCACCACGGCCCGACGACCACGAGGATCTTTCTCTGGGCTGCCACTCGCGCATGCGAGCTGCCCACTCGGTTAGCAGCAGCTTGCACCGACCATCATCGTCGTCGCCATGGCAACAACCTCCTCGTCGCCGATGACAATGCCAAGCACCGCGAGCTAGCTGACCAGTGACTGCAACCGCAGCGCGAAATCCACCACCCCCGCCGTTGCGGAACGCCAGCGCCTCGCACTCCCACCGAAGTTGCTACGCCTTCACCTTATTCACGCAGCTCGAGCTAACACGCATGGCCTTGAGGTTATCGCAAGCAAGCTTCGCGGAGTCCTTGCTCCTTGGCGACTCCACATACTCCGACGGCACGTCATTGATGATCGCCTCCATGGCCACACAGTCTTCTTCATCTTAGGTGCCGAACCCGATGGCGTTCATCAGCACCGCCCACTCGTCGTAGTTGGTGCGAGTGAGGACTGGCCAGTTTGTGCCGCCAACATCCCTCACCGTCCGTTGCACCACGATCTCCCGTTGCGGCGAAGTGACCGGGACTGTCGTGGAGTACCGATCGGAATCTTGGTCCTGTTCTTCCCGCCTGTGCCACTGCCATCTCCTTCACCAGGCATCGCCGGCGATCATACTAGTTATTGGGATCGAGCCGGCCTACACAGTTGAGTAGCACCTCAAACACACACGCGCACGCACAGCTAGAGGTGGAAGAAGGGGGGTGAGCAAAGAACACAGCACGAGCACATCTCGGCTAGTGCAGCAACTGAACTGCTATTCCCTGGTGTATATACAAGTAGAGGTGGCTGTTCACCAACTACAGAGGTACACTAGTACCTGTACCTTGGCTGACATCAGCCTTGACTAAATGGCCTATTGCCATACTGCTACAGTAGCAAGAATAGATAGATGGACAGCAAGGAAATGACCTATTGTCAACTTCCTGCTGCAGCAAAACATTAGGAGAATGCAGCAGATTATCTTACATACAGGATGCAAATAAGTGACAGCTAAATTGAGAACAAAGCAAGGTTTCCTATCAACCAAACAAAATACAGAATGTAGATAACAAAGTTCTTGGCTTATGGATGTGTACCTTCTGTAGCATCAAAAATATCGTTTCCATACTTAAAGCGCACATTTCCATTTCTTAAGCTGTGAGAAAGGAACTTCTCTCAGTGAAGTTTGGTACATTAGCACGCCAATTTATTTGACAAAGAACGAACATAAAGCAAGGTGCTATAACTAGGCCCAGCAAAAATTTATTCCTTGGCAACATCAGATAAGGCTATTTAGTTTAGATCAGATTCCACCGAACCTCAGCATGATATATAAGAGTCAAATCCCAAATATAAAGTCCAGTTCCAAAGTATGAACAAAATACTTATATTAAATGGGAAGATGATTTTACTAGCTGGTGTCAGAGCATCACCAAGAGTTCCTTGAAAAATTCTTGCTAAATCATTGATTATTCCAAGTGGCCAAAATGGGTAGGGAGCAATTTTTTTGTCTTAGTCCAACAGTTGCCAATAAAATGAGCTTTCCAACTCGCCTGCCACCCCCCAGCAAACAAGACCACAAAAAAGCGACGTGGGGCCAGAGGAAACCAAAGGAACTGCAGGATAGGGAGCGCAAGAACGTGTGTGCATGTGAGTTGAACAGGAGATTTACCATAAGCGGATGTTTAGGCAGTTCGGATAGGAAACTGTTGGGTGTTGGAGGCCATTTTTTCTTTTTCTTTTTTTGCCAAAAAAAACATTTCTGGGAGTTGAATTAAGAAGCTCTGGAGATGCTCTCGGTATGTTATTGTATCATACTCAACTTCATCAAAGATTCACAATAAAATGCATCAGCATCACAACATAGACCGTTAATGAGGGCAAGATACTTTATTAGATGTGGTTTTGTGTTTGGGGTGTGTCGGAGGTGGCCCCTCTCAAGTTGGGTTATGTTAACTCAACTCGTTGTACTATTTCTCTCTTAATGAAATGACACGTAGCCCTCTTGCGCCGTTCGAGAAAGAAAGAAACGTTATTAGACTCTACATAGTCTCAACATACACTTCTCCAATTAAACTTCCTAAGGACAACAAGTAATGATCTGCAGTCCCTTTTCAATATAATACAAACTGAATATAAAATATCACATTTGGAGATAGAGCATGTAAGCATTAAGAACAACCAATGTTTTCTGATCGGCTTATCGTTCCTAATAGGTTTGGTACCGATTAGGACGATCAGGACGATTAATCGACGATCAGGACGATTAATCGACCTCTGATCGGTCTAATCGTCCATATAATCGTCCATCATATAGCAGGACTATATAAGTATATATCATATATGTATGGTATATATATAATATACCATATACTATATATTTATATAGTAGACATCGAGCATATTTCTAGTTAGTTGGTTACTTACCTTCAGAGGAGGAGCTCATCTTCATGCTCCCTGGACCTGCAGCCTGCAGGTGGGGAAGAGAATAGGCGACCCTGCAGCAGAAGGGAGGAGGAAGCAGCAAGCAGCAGGGAAGATCCACGGATGGGCTGCTTGGATTGGAACTGGAAGGGAGGGAGGAGTGAGTGAGATGCACGCAGCAGGGAAGAGATGGAGCTCAGCTGCACACACAGCGGGAGTGAGGAGTACTAAGGACTGAGGAGAGAAAGAGTGGGGGTGAGGTATATAAGAGAAACCCTAATGGGCCTGACCCAAATAAATATAGCCCAGTAAACTGAAGTAGCCCATCTACGTATTTAGTGCTGATCGGCAAAGAGACCTAATCGGACGATTAATCGCGATTAATCGGACGATCAGGTTTCTGATCGCTCTGATCGAATCGGAGGGCCTAATCAAGTGCTAAGTACCGATAAGGACGATTAATCGCGATTAATCGGACGATCAGAAAACATTGAGAACAACCATTCCTATACTGGAAGGTAACATGTAAAGAGAGCAAAAATAATGAAGAAAATGCACAATTAATAACATAAGGCAAGCTATGTGGATTGTGGAATAAGTATCGTTACCTTACTATATGTGGTAGATAAGAAGGTGGGACATCATTATATAAGTAAGAATTATAAGGAGACTTAAACATGTATCTTGCACCAGTGGTTTGTGCGCGTATGCTTACTTTTAGTTGATATGGACACTGAAATAACAAAGCTCAAACATATTAGCAAAAATACAGCAAGTAGCTTAGTGGGTAGCTGTACTCCATCGACAATATTTTTCTCATAAGAAGCAATAAATATCAAATGGATACAATAACAAACAGAGGAATAGGCAGGACCTTACCACTGCATTAAACTTAAGAGAACAAAATGTCAAGAAACTGTCCTGCTCAAGAAATTTTGTCTGCAATAGCAAATTAACAGTTAACAAAAAAAGAAAAATAGGATTATCAAACATACTGTTACTATCGAAAGCAATAAGCATATGGAAGTGGAAGGTATGTAAGGAAAACATGGAGAAAATAGCAGCCTAAAGAGTCACGACCCTAGGACTGAAGACCTAGGTAATTCTGCATTGATAAAGCAAGCATAAAATTTGAGCTGAAGAGGGTACACCCATGCCAACAATGTGCAATGTCATGGTAAGGAAAAAAAAAGGTGATGTAACGGCTACAGTGGGAAATGCACTCTCAATACTGGTTTCAGGGAATGGAGTGATCCAGTAGTTGTAGGTCAAGGGGCGAAGCAGACCAAGTAAAAAAAAAAAGTTCAGGGGGGCGACTAGACAATGCAATTATTTAGGGGAATAAGGTAAACCTTTTAAAAACGGTGTTAACCCTTAAGAATATACAAAATATTTACTTTAAGGACTTAATTGCATACCTCTCCGAAGCCTGGGCTCATAGTAACTGGCAAAGCAAACTTCTTAGTCCGTCCTAAGCTTAAATCCACACAATTCCCCAATGATGAATGAAGTAAATCATTTGGTATGTTGCCCCAGAAACATTGCCCTCCAAGCTCTGTTAAAATGCATCGTAAAAAAATAGTTCATTTCATAAGGTGGTTCCAGGATGTTTATGATGTGTTTGATGCAGAATAATTTGAGACAGTAGAAGCCATGCACAGTACATATTAGAGACACAGAACTTCAGTGGTAATATCAAAAGAGAGGTTTTGGTTTTCCATAGATATAGATGACAATGAGGCAATATACTTTAGCAACTGTTCAATGTCTTCCACAAAATGGCAACCATAGACTTACTTCGAAGAGAGGAGTTCTCCAACTGGTTCTTTGAACAGTTATTTTCATCAGGTGATTGTCCAAATTGTCCTGAAGAAATAAGAGAAAAACATAATTAAATTTGATGAAAATGTAATCAAAGCTATACAATGCACAGATAATCTCATAGGATGCACAATGTACCACAGCTAACAAGGATAATGTTAGCTAAAGTCTTCAGGTCTTCAATGATGAATGTGGCTTCAGTGTGGCTGTCACGTCCAGATTCATCAAAACAAGTCAGCAAACAAGCCCGAGTGAACTGATATACTGGAGAATGCTGCAATGCCATGTCAAAAATGAGAAAGAGATCATCTAGGGGACAAAAACTTCAGTTGAGGAAATTAAAGAAGGATAGACTTACCCCTTCATACAAAATAGTACTAATTGGTTTAGCAATCAGAGCGTAAAGTGGAAAGATATTCTGGGCCTGTACTTCAGCGTTTGAACTTCCAGACAATGATATGGTTATCTGAATCCTATACTCATGAGCACAAGTGAATTTCAGCATTTGCAACAGACAAATTTCAAGCATGTCAGTAATTATAAAAAAAAAAACTTAATAGTTAATACTTCTTAGGCCCCATACAGCCTAGCTATCATCTTGTTACAACTGTAGCCATGTAGCTCTTAGCTTCTAAAAACAAACTGATGTAAGATATCAAGCCATTAGGATTAGTTTTGCAGCTTATTTATATGATGCTGGATTGATTAGTGCTTACAAGTTACAACCGTAGGATTTAATCTTGAAATGCAAAACATGTTCTAGTATTGTGGGGATTTTGTTCTAAAAAATTGCATGCCTTAGCTGCTGGGGCATCCAGAAAACGGAAGGTACTCAACTTTCCCACACAAAATAGCTCCAATTCTAATTCGATTAAGTCATGATTCTACAAGCCTGGGAGTTTGAACTCTCAAAATCCCAACAAATTGCTATAGTACTGAGATAGGGCACTACGCACTAGTGCAGAACATGATGTACATGGGATCTATGACGCAACAATTTTCTAAAAGAAAAACTTAAGTCAAACACAGCATCACTATGCATGATAATTTTATTTTCATCCTAAAACTTCAAAGTGAGGTTCATCTAAACTTTTGAAATGAACAAATTAGCCTTCACCTGTTGTGATTGTTCCGAAGGTAGGAAAAGAAATGAATAAAATGAAGATGAATTTTGAGGGCCAGGTACTCCCATCTAAAAGTCCAACTTGAGTTTTGATCCATCCCAATAATCAAACCATGTTTGCACTCATTTATGAAATAAAAATTTCTCAACTCAAAACAAAAACAGAACATGTAAATTTACAGATTATTAACAGATGCTATTTATTATTAAAAAAAATGGCAGGGCATGTCTGCTACACAAACAGAAATGATTGCTTTTCAACTAAAAAATAACAATACATTTTGAATCTGTGCTGTGTATTGGAAATATCACACTAGAAGTTCTAGAGTGGGAAACCAAACCTCTTTTCTTACTTATGTTACTTAGAAATCACATCAACAAAACCTGAGCAAAAGATACTGAATAACAAAACTCTAAATAGAGTAAGAATGCAAAACAGATCTAAAAGATCAACCGAATGCAAAATAATACCAGTGCAGTGTGAAAAGAAATCCTAAACCATTGAAGGATATTACCTCTTGTTTTGCTTGGCCTGTATCTTGTAACAAAGATCTCTTTGAAGAAATGAGGGCTGCATAGTTTGATTTATCAGTGATATAGAAAATTACTTACAAAATTGTTCCTGTCGAGCAGGTAATGCTTATGTGTGCCATGTTAAAAGAAAGGGCTGCAGTTTTAGGATGAACTTTACCTTTTTCTCGGCTCGTTTTTTAAAGAGTTCACACAGTAAAGTATGGTTGCCGAACAACACACGACTGTTTTCAGCAAAATCTGAAGATAACCCATCTTTTGAGAGGAGACGATATATCTGGTCCAACGATGAACTAGAACCATATATGCAACCTGTATTCCTGTATGCAGAGTACAAATACAAGTTGCATAAAAATGACTAGATTCCATACCATCTTCAAAACAAAAATCCCACCCAGGCATTCACCATATCCACTAATGTACAGAGAAACTTGAATCAATAACAAGAATCTATGGACCACCAAACCCAGACGATTACACCCGCAGATGGTCACAGAAATATGACAGCAAACATGTACCAAAGAACCCCAGACACTTCAATTTTGCAATGAGAGGTGTAGCAAACACGTAAAAAGTAGAAGACACGCATAACATATGAGATTAAAGAAAAGGAAAGGTTAGTGCAATACATTGCCACATCGTCTGGTAAAGTTTGGCAAGACATCCTGGCGGACGAGGACCTTGGTTCGCGTGGGTTCCAGGGCGCCACCAAGATCAGCACGGCTAAGGGCGCAAGTGCCTACAGGAGGATACTATGCACAGGTTACATCGGTAGCATGAACAGAAATTTCTATCGATTATCCTGGAACTGGATCTGGATCTTACAGGCAGATCTGGCTGGCTGCCAGGCAAAAGGTTAGGGGAAAATGGAATTAATCAAAAGTAGCGCTTACCAAGTAAGAAGTATTACTTCGAATGATTCTTCAGTATTTGTAGGAGATCGTCGCTCTCTTGATTGGATCTGGTCGAAGAGCACCCGTGATAGAATGGTTGGGGAATGGAGAGATTTGGGGCTTCACTTCCAGGACTTCTGTTTTGTGCTCGGTCAAGTCCAAATGGTGTGTGCAAATGGGCTTTAGTGGGAAAAGGGTGTGGATCCAATTGGACCGAGCATGTACCCGACAGTAAATTGAAAATGACAATGGGAACTAATTTATAGTGTTACAGAAAATAAAGCTAAATTCATGGTGCATTCTGAGAAATGCCAGGTGAAATAAATCTGTGAATGCACCGCTGGCATGCATCTGGGTTCCTAAATAGAAATCAACCCAGGGCTCTTTGAAATTGTTAGACTGTCAAATGGATAACTTTAAATTGAAATTAAGGAGTGCTTTTAAAAACTAAAAATTATATTGCCATTACTAGCAGCTTGGTGATATAGATTGGCATAATTATATGTTGAATAATAATAAAAATGAGGACCAGAGGGGAAGACGTTCACCCTAATGTTTCATTAAGTTTGGTGTGGTCCTCGAACCTGGGCAAGTTGGGCAAGTTCTCAGCTTCCCAACCACTAGACCCATGAGAACCATATGTTAAGTAATCAATGACCTCTTCCGTAGCATATAATAACAGTATTTTGTGTCAAGAAACAAACACAACGACAAAAATCCACACAAACAGTAAAGGAGCTCTATTTTCCATCTCCCACAGCTTGCCTCCCAATACAGCTTGCTGCATTGCATCATCACTACTATTACTATGGCACATGAGTTCACTTCTTCACTGCCACTCCACAGACCACAGACCTCTCTATGTCCTTCACAAAATAAAAGGTTCCTGTGACAGGTGCAAGTATGTTGATCAAAATATATTTATACCGGCATATATAATTCTATAAAGCATTTTCAAAAATGAATTAGCTGTAGTATTTCATACGACCATATTATATTTTTGGTTGTACTATTGTTTGTAAGTGGCACTATGGGGTGAGTGTAGATGTTTAGTACGTACACTTCCAGTTGGAAGAGTGTAAGACCATTTCTTCCTTCCTAGTAAAAAGACACGCAATATACTCTAAACTACCATATGCCCAATATACCAAAAAAGTTTCAAAGATGATGTATGGGCCATGAGGAATAAGCCAAGATGGAGATTGTATTTCCATTTTCCTTGTCTATGTGCTCTGAAGAGATGGAGTTACTTATATACTTAAAATATGCCAAACAACACATGAGGTGCGATTGGTGTTTCAATCCATTACAGGGGCGGGCCAAATAAAGAACACGGGTGTACATATGTACACCCATAATTTTTGCCAAAAAAAAAACCTAGTTAGTAGGCATAATGCAGGTATACACTTGTGATTAGAACAGATCCCATCCGAATACAGATAGCCAAATAACTTCAATTAGAGTTCGGGTACTCAGTTTTGCACAGAAGGAAGGGAAGAGAAGGGGCAGGCATACCTGCTCTGGTGGGTGCTCGTCGCCGGCAAAGGGCCCAATGAAAGCCCTGGGCAATTGGGAGTAGGGCGGCGGCGGTCGGCAACTGAGGCTAGGCCGGGGCCCGCTGATGTAGATGTACGGTATAAACCTGGCCTGGCGTCGACGGCCGAATCGAGCCTATAGCTCTTCGGCAGGCGAGGTGAACGGGAGAAGAAAAACAGCGGGCAGAGGAGGTGAGGTGAACGGGAGAAGAAAAGACAGCGAACGGGTGTGAACTAAGCACTGGTCGATTCTCTTCTTTATTTCCGATTTTGGGAAAACTCCATCCGAATTCCGACGTGTCTCTCAACTGTAGCGAAAGTTCAATTCGCCATAAAAACTGCATTTTTTCTTATTTAGGGGCTGTTTGATGGAGTAACTAATCTTTAATAGGTGTTTTGGATGCCAAATAGAAGGTCTAAATGTGAACAAAAACTAGCAGAGGCCTACACCGAGTGTACGTGTCTCTTTGCTATGACGTGGTTGAACGTCATCTTGTCGTGTAGGGGAAGCTGATAGCATCACAACTGTCCCCTGACGCTGTTGTCTCCGTTATGGCACTTGACCGTCATGGGCTGCCTGGTACCGGGCGGCCTCCCCTGGGTGAGCCTTCTCAAGGCTTTCTTTATGCGCAAGGAGCCTCCCCTACCTGGAGGGGATGATGAGCAGGGCCCGGAGCCCTTCCCCCTTGGGAGCAGGTGGAGTCCCTTGTCATGATGTGTCACATCGTTGCGTGACCCTACCGAGAGATGGCGACGAGGGGTTGTGCCCGAATTTAGCCGAATAGTTTGACCGGAGTACGCCGAGTCCTGTAGGTCTATGGTCGAATGCCCCTCTAAGGGCGCTCGAGCCCATCACATGCGGCTTCTGAGCTGGGCAATACTGGGATCGAGCATTATGTGGGGAGGCTAGAGCGAGGGCCTAGCTGACACGTCGGGGGGTCGCCAGCTCTGAGCCTGCGTGAGGCACCCTGCTTGCCTTGGCCTGCCGTGGGTTGAGTAATGGGGCTCCGGGGCCCTAGCTCGGTGCCAATCTATCGCTCGGTGTCCCACACTCGTCTGAGGGATCGGTGACAGGCCTTCCTGGCTCGGGCCACACCTCGCGATGGTCGGGCGCTCTATGCACCCCAGGCTTCGGCGACCTTCGATGGGCCCATCGCTCAGTGCCCTTTGTTCTTATGTGCTCTACGCATGGGAACGGTCATGGGCCACCCATTGGTCAGGCCCCGAAACTCCCTGTGGAGGCGCTAGCGCAGCCCTCGAGCCCCTTCGTGGGGCCGGTTTGTCAGCGGGTGGGCGGTATCTTCACGCACGCCCTTCTCGCTGATGCTCGGTGTAGTCTCTTGATATTTCTTAATCGTCGCGCCGGTAGGTGGAATTAACGCGCATACGGCACCCGTGCTCGTGAGGGGTGAACCGCTATGCCACGCGGTGATGATCCAAGGGCCGAGAGGCCTTGGCATTTCAAACGCGTGTTTCCGGGCCGTCGACCCCATGCGGAGGACTCGATGGGAGGGGCGGCTCCCCGATTCCCATGTCGGGGCATGTGTAGGATAGCGTGTTTCATCCCGTCACCTCGATGAGACGGGGCAGAGTCAAGACACTTGCCTATGCCAATCGCCCTCTGGTCCATCTTCCTGGAAGTGGACCTGTCTAGGGACCCCACCTGGGGGCCGTCCAAGGTGGCCCCTCACCCTGTGGCTCACCGCCATGTCGCGCGAATGTGCGCAGGTTCGTGGGGCATAGGGTGCCCACCGCTCCCCAAAGTATAAAGCCAATGACAAAAGGAGAAGGGGAAGTTACCTGTTGCTTCCCACGAGCACTCCACCTTCAAGGAAACCCTTCTCATTGCCTCCGTCCAAGAGTTTTCCTCATTGCACGTCTGCAGCACTCCGGTGCCCCTTGTTCACGAGCTATGGCGGAGTGGGAGCCATCGTCCTTCAACAAGAGGAGACTCAAAGAGATGTAGGAGGCAGCGCTGATTCTGAAGGACCCAAGGTGATAGGGTGGCACGTCCTTGCCACGTCCGAGCATGAGCCGTGGCCCCAGAACAACGAGGTCATGTCCTTCGCTCACTTCCACGACTATGGGTCCGGCCTCCCTGCTCACCCCTTTCTCTAGGGGTTGTTGTACTTCTATGGGTTCCACCTCCACGATCTGATGTCGGAGGGAGTTCTCCATGTCTTTCGGTTTTCATCATGTTGTGTGAGGGCCACTTGGGGATTGAGACCCACTTCGCGTTGTTGAGGTGGTTGTTCCAAATCGTCCCGTTAGAACCTAGCGGAGGCCTTCCTGGATGGGGAGCTCTAATCCAAGTCCACCTAGGAGCAGCGGGCGCTACTTGGAGTTCGATCGTGGGCACAACTGTGACACTGAGCTGGGCTAGCAGAAGAGCTGGTTCTACCTCCCCAACATGGTCTCAGTGCTATTCCCTTCTCGTTGGAGAGGCTAGGGGTGCACTACCTCCAACATGGTGGAGCTTCCCCATGGCATCAGAGCTGGGGGACCTCGTGACCCAGCCAGCGGTGATCGATCGTTTAAGGGCCCAGGGTGTTGATGGTAGTTAACAACCATTATAAACCATCAACATAACATGTATAAGGGCATAAATATGATTACCAACAAAGGTCTAGGGGTTTAAACTAACAAATTCTATGAGTTTTGGTGAATTTATATTTTCTGCAGGGTTTATCGAGAAAACTGTCAAGGTGGTCCTAGATGTCAGACTTAATCACGATTATCCGCGGGATAAACAACTCTAGAAGGTTCTAGAGGACACTAGAGGACCACACCGAAGCGGAGGGTGAGAGGCCGCCGGGTGGGGCCGGCCAGTGCCACCCTCAAGCCAGCCGGTCTGGGGCCCCACCTGTCAGCCTCCGCCTCGCTACGTCAGTTCTCTATCGCCTTAAGGATTGCATCTACGTCGTTTATTCAAGTCGGTTTGATCCGAAGGCTCAGGATTGACGCTCCGGCCTATATATACCAGCCCCTACCACCCCTTGAGGCATAAGTCATTTGAGAAGACAAACCGTAATCATCCTCAGAGCTCCATCATATTCTAGGGCATAGCTAGTTAGGCTAGGTCTAGAGGGAGGCAAGCAGGTTTTGCTTGGATTCCTGATCGTGTCAAGAGCGTGGTTTGGCATAATCTTTGTACCCCTTTCTCTTTTGTATCTCTCATTACTTTTATATGTTTGCTACAATTGTTATGACATTATTATTCATATCGTTTATGTTCCTAGTTATCATGTTCATCGTCTACTTTGATTATATGCTTAGTATAGTTGGATTATCAACATATTCATGCATAAGTTCGTATAGCGCTCGATGTGGTGTACACGGGGTGAGTGGTCGACATTGTGTAAGTGTGGTGCTTATACGTTGTTTACCTGCATATGCACGCTATATTCTAGGCCATGTGGTAGATCGTGGATGTGACACTCCCGTTGAGTCCTTTGTAGTCCACTCTCTGAATATAGGACAAGTAGGATCTAGTTACGAAGGAAAACAAACTCTGTTCTTAATCTTCCTTAGTAATATCCCTTATGTGTAGATATGAGGTTGATCTTAGCCATGATTACTAAGTGTAATTGCACTAATCAATGTATGCTTTGACTTGTAATTAAGAATGACTTAGGAATTATTCCTCTAATATTCTACTTAACCATGCTAATGCCATATAAAGGAGTACTCTGAGTGATCAATGATTAGCTATTACGCACCATTCATATATACATTTACCTCTTGACTTACCCCTATTGTGAGTAGAATATTGGTTATGGTTTACTTCTCCATCAATAGCATAAGTTATCAATACATATCCTTGCCAGACCTTTCCTATGGTAAAAATATAAATAACGATACCTGGAATACTCCTAGGTGAAGTGCTATAATGGTATATTATCTACGCGCTTGCAGATCCCTTTCATATATATATATATAGTCACATAAAATAATAAAGAACTGCTTAGTATTATTCTAGTAGTAATACTAAGTAGTACCAACAAACATCTCTATCATCATCACTAGGTATGACAACCTAGTAAAGCAATGTTAAGAGATGTAGACATACAATAGGCGGCTACTTAAAATAAGTGAAAAGTTAATAAATACCAACAAGCATTTCTGGTGTCGTTGCCGGGGAAGGTAGCTAGACAAAGGAAATATTGATAAACTTGTACTTGTTGATGTGATCGAGGAAACCATATACCTCTGCTCAAATAGACTTACCCTTGTTTTGTCGAGCTTTTTATATCTTATGCAGGGTAATGTATGATCGGTTTTGACCTTCCGACAAACTACGTTGAAGATCCAGAAGCATTAATTAGGAGAACTAGAGCCAAACTCAAGAAAGTCTTAGCTTTATAATCGGAAGACAACCTGACCAGGTGGAGCTTAACACCAATTTTTGAAGCCATGGCTGACAAGACTCTCCATGAGTTCTCTGCTCCAACTATGGCTAACATCCGTATTGGACCAGCGACCAATGTCGGAGACAATAGCTTTGAACTCAAACCAGCTCTCATCAACATGGTGTAAGCTAGCCAGTTTTGTGGAAAGTCACATGAAGATGCGAGTGCTCATCTCCAACACTTTCTAGAGATCTGCAACACTTTCACCATTAAAGGAGTATCCAGAGATGCCATACTACTTCGTCTCTTCCCATTCTCACTCTTAGGAAA